AAAAAATAAAAACTTTAAAATAGTTGATTTGATATTAACATTAATATATATATATGTATATATATATATATATTCCCAAATTTTTATGATATCTTCAAATTTATATTTTATTCAAAAATAAAATCATTAATGTTTTCTTAAAAACACATAAAATTGTATTATAACATTGACAGAGACAGAGACAAATAATAAAATAGAATGCTAAAATCGAGATGTGTCTCGTTGCATTGTGTAAGTACTCTTCTAGTAAATATAAAATCCACATACCTACCCTATTCTTAATAGTGATTGGCAATTGGCAACCACAAGATTTATATTAATTAATAAATATAATTTAAATGCAACCTTTATCGGTGTGTATATGCAAACATGAAATGAAGTCACTGTTTCATTTTGGTTTTAGTTTATTGATAGATTTAAAAGAAAACCTCAGCCTGGTGTGTTTGTGTGTGCAAAGGGCAAAGGAGCACCAGAAACGGCATGTGTGCAAGAAAAAGGGGACGATTATTTGACTATTAAAAAACTCAGATCTATAGAGGAGGCTGAAGAATGGATGGACAAGTAATGGACCAACGAACCCGTGTATATGTAATATAATAATATTTTTATTTAATTTTCTAATATAAAATTAAATAAATGAAAAAAAAAACAGCAAAATGCCTTAGAGTTAACCGACCTTGTTAACATTGTTAGCCATATGAACCAAAAGTGAAAGGAAGAGTCAACCACATTCATCAGAAAGTGTAATTAACTTCAATCTTTTTAAAGACTTGTTCTCGTATACAGGCGTTTTAAGTTTTTCTATTACATTTTGTTAACATTCAAAAAATTAAAATCCTTTCATTCTGTGAATTTTAAAAACTTAAAATACATTAATCTTTTGCCAAAGTTAACAAATAAAAATACAGATGTTAAACTGCAATTATCCCGTCCAACCGTCCATTGGCTACCAGTACCATACACGGACTATCCCGTAACCCGGCCAGCATCAGTAGCAAGGCAATCACGAACGACGAGGGTTTGGGGTCATTTTCCAATCAATTTCAGCTACTTTTTATGTTTCTAGATCAAGTGTTTTTAAGAATAAATACATAAATGTTAAAGAACATAATTTTTTGGGAAAGGTAGTAAAGGTTTCCAAAGGCAAAAACCTGTTTCTAACATTTAAATTTCGGGTAAATCTGTTCTTTCAAGTATAAATTATCAACGCATGCAAAAATTGTTCAATTTTAAAATATTAAGAACACAAATTTTTTTCCCTCTACTGTCCTTCTTAAACATAAGTTCTATCAATCAAATAGGCAAGAGACAGAGACGCTTTTTTAAATTAGAACAAGTAGACCAGGCAATAAGAAAAAGAAAAAGAAAAAAAACAAGTTAAAGCAAGTAAGCATAATGAAAACACAAGAGGGTATACGAAACTAAACAAATTAAGAACATATAACAGGAAAACAGGAATTGCTGTTTTTATACTAAAGAATGGATTTTCTGCTTTATGCGTAGTTCTATGGAATGACAATAAAAAAAGCTTCATGGGTTAGGGCCGTTAACCAATCACTAACCAGGTCACTTACCTTATCCAATGAGCATGGTAAAGTCTGAAGATCTGACTCGGTAAGAAGCAAGACAAGGACCGATGATGAAACTTCAATTCTATTTTTAATTTTATTTATTCAATACCATGATGATATTCTATGTTCATCAACTATTTGTATGCTATGTGCAACTACATTGCCTAGAGGTGATACTGTTATATTGTTAGTTGTATGTTAATAACCGATATTTCACTTGATCTCATGTAAATAAATATCCATGTCAAAGAAGCATCTGCATATCTGAAACCTGTGAACTAGTTCTCATGCATGCACTAGTAGAAAACAAAATAATGAGAGAGTATGTGAAAATAATTTCAAGTTTATTTTCAAAGATAATGCAATGGAACAGTAATGCATTAGTCATTAACCAATATAATACGTCCTGACCTTAACTCATCGATGACTAAAAAGGCCACCATAAAACGATTTAAACACATCTACGCAATAAGTTGAACTGCCTCCCTTTGGTCAGAATAGTACAAAATTTCAACACGTAACCAATTAACACAGAAAATGTAATCGAAGGACAAAGGCACGTACACTTTTAATTTCTGGATTTCTTCCTAGAGGACTTTGAAGAAGGCTTGGGTTGTGCAGAAGCTGCACTGCTGGAAGATCCTTTTGCATTTGATGGTTGGCTTGATTTTGTGTTTCCAGTATTGGCAGCTTCTTTAGCCACTGCACCCTGAGAACCTCTTATCTGAGCCGCTCTCTTATCTTTCCTCTTTGGCCTGAAGCTTGATCTCTCTCTTTTAGGTAACCATCGCTCTGGATCTGGTGGTGGACCAGGATTAGCAGGGTCAAACCCTTTTGGGTACCTCGGCTTTCTCTTCCTTTTCTTCTTTGCTTTTTCCTTGCTTTTTGTTTCATGAGGTTCAGTATTCCCCAAGTGAGGCCCGTTTTCAACGTGCTTTGCACCAGAAGTTTTCTCCAAAGCATTCACATCCACATACTTCAAGCCAGGAAGTGGTTTCAGTTGTTTCTCATAAGTTTCTGCCTTTTCGACATCTGTATAAGCAGCGGTTTGTATCAACCCTACTAAGGCCTCAATACTATTATGGCTTTTTACAAGTTCCTCAAAAAGTTTTGAAGCTTCCTCCTTCTGCCCGTGCTTGAGCTTGAAAGCTGCTGCCTCTTGCATGATAACACTCAGCTTACTCTCTTCAGTCATTGCATTTGACCAAAACTTGACGGCAGAATCAAGCACAACACTGGCACCATCAATATCTCCAGCACGTTCTTTGAGAGAGACAAGAGTAGCTACAGTAGCAGGCATGTGTTGAATATCAGATATCTTTGATAGAGATTCTGATGCAATTTGAGGATGCCCTGCAGCTGCTGCAATCTGTGCCCTAGCCAGCAGAACCATCTTTGATTTGTCGGCGGGTAACTTTTCTGCATACTTCCCTAACATTTCTTCAGCTTTTCCAGCCTTGTTCTCTCTCACAAAGACAGCAGCTTGAAGCAGTATCGGTGTCACACTGTTAGGAAACATCTGTGGCAAGGCATCGGCAAGTACTCGAGCCTGTTGAGGTTCATCAATGAGTATAGCAAGCAACGAGAAACTTTGACAAGACTTCCAAAAAAGGAAAGGAAAAAACATAAATAGAGCTGAAAGTTGTGCATTATCTAATTATGACCTGATCTATCTTGTTAGAATGAAGTAGCAACAGCATTCGGTTAATGTAGATTGCTTCCTTCTGTTTTGGTGAAAGCTTCAACTCTAGTCCAGGGACAAGCTGGAAGCTCGGATCTCCAGTGCTTTTTTCTATTAAACGATCAAGCTTCCTTAATCCATCAGATATATCTTTAGGACCCTTCAATGCTATTAAATTGTTTATTGCTACTGCATTTGATGATTCATCAGGCAGATTCCGCTTGATAAGGTCTGTGTAAGATGCAATGGCTTCTTGTTTGTTTCCAAACAGCTGTAATAAAAGCATTGATTTTCTTTAATAATGCAAAGAGGACAATTTTAGGAACTTTATATACTGATCATTACCTGCTGTACATAGGCCAACTGCACAGCTATGGGTGCCAATTCGATCTCTATCTCGTCATCAGCTAAATTCTCATCCATCAATGTCTCCTGACCGATTCTGTCAAGCATTATATTTAAAACTTGTAAGCTTATCTTGTACATACGTGCACCTTATTATACATTGCAATGAGGGCCTATTACATGGCTAGAGAAACAAGTAAAGCATGAATAACACCGCAGTAGGCAACAAGTAAAATCATAGCTGTGCATATGGTGCTAAATAGGAAAGGCAAATGAATAAGAAGCAATCTGATTTCTAATGCTAACCACACGTGGCCCTAATTCGATTTCACATCTTAATGGTAGCATTTCCTATAGCTTTCTGTTCATGCTTAGTAAGAATCAAAGTTTAGCTAAGATCAAACAAAAGGCAGTTGCATTTCATTTTGATGGTTATGATAATCTTTTGCTGGCCATTTTAGTTGTGTAGTATCATTCCTACTATACGAACCATATAGGCTTCAGAATGTAACGGTCTTTGAAGGCAGACAATATTTGTTCCCTGAACCAACCAAACTATCCAAGCACAGGGATGGGATGTACAAACATAATCAATGATATGTACAGAAGGAAACAAAGGCATGAAGAACGCCTTACAACCCTAGATTTACTTCTAATCAAGACAAAATGATCCAACTCCAAACATTAATGATACTGACAACTGCATATGAATGTTATGCTTCAGCTACTTATTTCAAACAAGACTTAATGAATCAACAACCAGAAAGGTAGGACAGGAGCATCTGGTCCTAGCAAGTGCAAACTAACCCACATTCAACCTAGTGTCCCATGTGTTGTTTTTACGTAATCGAGATGTGATGCAAACTTCATCTTTATCCAACAAGATTACCTTCTAGCTGAAAGTAGGAGTTGCTCGGCATCTGAGTACTTGTTCCTTTCAACCAACGCACATGCAGCATTATATGCCAACTCAAAGGTGCTGGTTGCTTTAACTCGCATGGCATCCATCATTCCTTGAACTTCAGAAGCCCTCCCAGCTGAAACCAAACCAGCAACAAGATTTATCTCCAGTGACTCTATTTTTGACTTCTGGAGCTTTTGATATATATCCACAGAAGCATCCATCTTTCCTTGCCGAAATAGAATCTGTGATTCTAACAACATTGCTGCAGAGTCTTTTTCTAGGCCCTTCAAGGCTTCCATCGCATCATCTAACTTATTTTGTCTGTACAGGCAGTATGCCTGTTTACAAATCACCAAGAAGAAAAAAGAGATGCATCAATAAAGGCAAAATTTCATGCTTCAGAAACATGGTGAAGATTAGAATAGTTCTGATGTCAGTTACAAAGAAGTAAAGCGCAGCTTTTTGAAGAAGGTATATTGCACTATATCCACACACATATACAAGCACACATAGAAAACCGTTATTATAGAGAATAGACACAAATGGGCAAACACTCATATAAGTTGATACAAAAGTACAGAAGATAACTATACAGGATATGTTCCAAACCTTAAAGGCCTTGCATCGAATAACAACGAATCATTTTGTGAGACAACGAGAATATAGTTTCAGTGCCACAGAAACCACTCATTCGGTAATTCTCAATAAATTTAAGCATCACTAGATAACTCTTTAATCCATGTAGGGAAGCTTGCAAACTTGTACTCATAGTAATGCAACAACTAAATAACTAATCACTCATATCATCATAGAATACTTAACACTTCAAATTTCACCAAAGCTTGCTCTTTTCAAGAAAAGGAAATGATAGCAGCTGCATGATCGGTTCTGTTACATGAATGGGTACAACAGGTACTGTCAGGAGAGTTAGAAGAAGACCTAATAACGGGATATAAATCATTAAGACCATTTAATCAGTTCGGCCGTCAATTCCAAAACATGTAGGGAACAAGGCGTTAATCAGGCAAGCCCAGCTTATTCAGATAAAGAACGTATTGAGTGACTCAAAATCGTACCAATGCCCATTTTATATGCTCACCAGATGTTCACTATGCATCAAATGAAAGAAATTCATGATGCCGAATCACATTGCCATTAACAACTTCGAAATGAACAGTTTGTACTTGTGATTGACAAAATCGGATACGCACACAATTTATAACGCTAATATATGTCAGTATTTACCTTGAAGAAATCGAAATCGAAAGGAAACTTCTTCGAGCAGGCAACAATAGTAGAAAGAGCACCATCGATGTTATCAGCCTTAATTAAGGACACGATCTTACACCGAATTGCATCTTCGTCACCAGGAGCAACAGATAGAACTGCAAAAAGCAGTTTTTACTCGCACGATGCACAAATTCAATAAATACACAAGTTATAAAGAGATACATACCTTGATCTGCAACTTTGACGGCCTGCTCGTACTCTGACCTTTGTATATGTCGATCGAGAGTTGTGAAAAGATCTTCAATAGAGACGGCCGGCGTGGCCGAGGGTTTGGGTTTCGCCTTGGGAGCCATCGCTGGTTCTACTCCACACTAAAATGACGGAAATTTCGCCTGTGTTCGGAAGACAAGCCAGAGAAATCAGCGGATTGGGGGAAATTTGTTGATGAAATTGGGCTACAATTGAAAGCATGGGTCATTCATTGTGCCCTAAACTTTGGGCCTATGGGCTTAATTTGCGGAATGTTATAAAATACTAGTTTACTACTTTACTAAACTTTCATTGTTTTGCTTAAAATATAGATAAATAAATAAAAATATAATTATTAACCGATTATTTTTTGTTAAAAAAAATAATGAACAAAGTAGAAATTGAAATCGAGAAAGTCCTTTATCGATATACGTCTAGACTCCGTGTTTGACCCAGTCAGGCTCATGTTTACGTCAACATTGTTGAGGACCAAATCAACTCGAGTTTTTTTTTCTTTGTTCTTTCTTACAATACATCAGTAGTTGTTGGCGATTTTAACAACCACCACTGTTGTCTCCCTTGATGGCCAAATCAGTTGCCTCTAAGTCGTCGTTATGATTCAAATTCTATACTAAGAGCTCATAAGATAACATACATTAATTGATAAATGCTTAACTTCAAGTTTAGATCAGAAAATTACCTCAAATCAATGATAAACTTGTAGAAACCTAACTTGGGGGTTTTGCTCTGGAGATAATGACGATCATAAAAGGGTTAGGGGTGAGTTTTATCCCACTTTCATCCAAAACAAACGCAAGAAACGGGGTTCATCCTCAATTCGGAAATTCAATATTTTGAGGATTTGGTAAAAAAATGCCCCTCCTATTTAATTATTCGTTGTCAGTATGGCTCATAACTTTAGAAATTTGCAAATTGCCACAATTCTATATGCATGTGCAAGCATATTGCAATTATTTGCTATTTTCCAACGTGACATCTCCCAGATAATATTCGTAATATTATTTAAATATATATTCAATGAAGTGGGACGTTGCAAATTTAAAGAGATCAACGATGTTGCTCGACTTAAACTTTTTCGATTCCGATTGTGGCACATTCTCTAAGATATTTATGATTTTCTCAGTAGAGGCACGTTTGAATATCTTATGACTTTTGCACGATTATTGACACAACTTTGGATTATTTAACTTGTCAATTAAGTGATTGAATTTATAGAGTTACAATATCAAATAAACACAACTCACTAGATATAAATAAACATAGAGTATTTCTAACGGTAGCATGGATGAACTTTCATGGGTTTGAAGGCGCTTAGAACTCTTTTTTCGTTTGCAGAAGTCGGTCTCTAGTCACATCTTATGACATCCAAATAAGCCAACCTCATCGTCACAAGTTTTTTATAATGTCTTATGATAACTAAGATCAATTGGGCTAATCATATTTCTACGATCGTTTGCCATGCAAATTACAGTCACGTTTGTATTAAAATGATCATTTAAACAAAAAAAAAACTTTAAAATCTCAACAAAACTCAAAAGGAATTCATACACGTATTAATTTTCTCAGAGTATGCTTGAAAAAAAATAATCATTAAAAAAAGACATATTGAAGTTTGTTGAGGCTACATCGTAATACTTTCGTGATTTCATCATTGGACCATTGTTGCCATAAGATTCCATTATGCAGACCATTATTGCCATCAAAACTTTGAAAACGTTGTCAAGAACAAACTATTGGTTTCATTGAGGAAAAATTAAGAAAATCATAAAAGGGAAAAGTTTTAAGAAAAAATTCTAAAATCCCAACAAAAATCAAAAGAAATGCATACTCGAATTAGTCTTCTCGAAATAAACTTGAGCATGAATTTATTGAAAAATAATGGTTTATGAAATGAAAAACAAATCAAGTGATGTAGATAAAGAAAAAGAGATTGAATGATGAACGATTCATGAGAAAGAAAATGAAAAACAAATCAAGTGATGTAGATAGAGAAAAAAAGATTGAACGATGAACAATTCATGAGAAAGAAAATGAAATGATTAAGACATGAAAACGAGTTAAAGAAAACGAAAAGATGGTGTTAAATGCAAACATAAATGAATAATCAATGTTATAAAAATTAAAATGCAAAATTAGAAAAAAGATTAAAAAGAGGTTGAATGAGAAAAAATATAAATGAGTATTCTAGCTTTTAGGAAAAGCCAAGTCATCAACCTTAGTTATTCCTTTAATATATATATATATATATATATATATATATATATATATATATATATTAAAAAAAGAGTTAAAAAGTGGATTTTAATCGTATAAACTTAATCCATTAATTATCATAATCATAATTTGATCATTACATAAAAGAAAGAACAATTATTATAAACGACGAAAAATCGTGTGAGAAATAGTTAAGATGAGAAGCGTGAAGAAGAAATCTGGACCTTTGATCACTTTTAATTTCAATCTCACAATGAATCGTGCTTGATACGAGGATTGATCCGGTGCATCTCATCTTAATATGTTTCTAAGGGCGGAGATCCTTTTATAAGTTTCTCACCTTAAGTCCTCTTCTCACCAGAACTCAGCTACGATGATCCGAAGCATATATAATGTTGGATTCCGATGAGATAAAAGTTATAGTGAGAAGTGTAAGAAAATATTCACCCTTGGATCAATCCTAATTGAATGTCAATACTAATGAGGTGCATCGGGATGCACTGTATCAACCCCCTTCTAAAGTGCAGTTCACAGATAGGCATGCGATTAAAGGTGATTAATGATTCAGATCTCTTCTTATATTTAACTTCCTTTCTTACACTATCTTTCACCTGCACACGCGCACACACACACACACACACACACACACACATATATATATATATATATAAATAAATAGAGAGAGAGATGTGAGTTACTATATAACATTTTACATTTGTACAACCAATACAACTCAATCTCAACCGTCTATTTAATTTGATGAATATGTGATTTCATAAAAGTTTTGATTGTTTCATAATATAAAATATTGATCATAATTAATGAACCCTAGTTATCTTTCATAAATATTCAAATCATAATAAATGAACTTTCATAAGTATCTCAATTGATTGAGTTGCATTAATTATACAAATATAATGGATTGCATTTGAAGCTATATATATATATATATATATATAGGGAAGGGTTCAAACGAGAACCCCTGTGATTTACGAAAACGCGAGAACAACTCAATAACCATATATTGTGATAAAAAATAACATTAAAAGATTTTTAAAATTAAAATTAAAATTAAAATTTAAAAAGATTCAAAAAATTTTAAAATTAAAAGGGTAATAATGGAAATGATATATTATCTAGAAAACGGTTAGAATCTTTTAAACTTATCATTAAACACAATCAAAATCTTTTAAACTTACATTATCATCTACAAAACGGTTACGATTACAAGTCTAACTTCAAATCGCAAGAACTACGGACGGCGACGGTGTTGATCGACGGTGACCAACCAAGAACACACAACCGTAATCGACTAAGAACCCTAATCGAGAAGCCATTGCATGCAACAAGCAACCCTAATCATGTGATATGAGTGTGATAATCATGTGATAGGG